AAAGCCATTTATCAAAACAATTTAATAATTATTGATTGCAAGCAAGGTACTTGGGATTAGTATAATAATAATATTAAAAACGATTTTTAACACCAACGTAGTTTTGAAACTTGGCAAATTCATCCACCCTTGTGGCACTATGTGCGAAGAAATTGTAAACATCTCTGACAAGTTTTTCGACTGCTACGAGAGTTTTCTTACACGATTGAAGAAGTATAAAAATTTCAAAATAAATGTCCCTCCGAAATTCATCCAAAAATTTTTTTCTCTTGATACACTTGGTTCAACACGGTCACACTGATTGTACATCCGCTCACCTGCCTATTGTCTCTCTCTCCAGCCTACTATGCCGCTGTGGGCACGCCAAAGCGCATGCGCAACCAAAACGCCGCTGGCATCAATGTTGTGTTTGCCGCAAACCATTTTGCTTTTTCTTTTCTTTTTGCCCACCTCAATTCCGTTTACCCACCTTCTTTCTTGCTGTATGTCTTTGGGAACGAGCTATATGCATACATACGCTTGCTCAGTCGTGCGCTCTTTCACTCTCACTTTCATACTTTCATGCTTGCGTCAGACGTCTGGCGTCTACTCTAAATTGTATTACTTCATCGCTGCGATCATTAGTAATTTGTTGTCAATAATGGTTTAATAATAAGGTTAATTGTGTTTTGCATTAATGTTTTTCTTTTTGCTTAGTGGTTAGGTAGCTACATACGGGCGATGAAGGTCATCAAACGTTTCGCATAATCCATTAACATACAATTGTAAAAACGAGAGAGATTGTGTAATCATATTAATCCCAAAATCAACTCTTACTATTTAAGAGAAACAGAGAACAGGTGAGTTATTTTTTGTAGATGTGTGATCGCGCCCTGAGGTAAAGGGTTATTTGCATATTATTTCCGTTGCTGTTGGTCTCCCTGGGAGAGAAAAAATCAGTGTAAAAGCGCAAACATTCAACGACGTAACGTAGACGTAGGTTGACGCAGACACCATCTACCTTATGGGATTCGCGTGTTAACGAAAACTCACCACCGCATGGCGGTGACGTTGCTATTGTTTCTCTCTCTCTCTCTATCAACAGTAAATTTTATATGCTGCTACGTACGTCAACCTACGTTTACGCTACGTCGTTGACTAACTGCGCCTTTAGAGCGCGATTACCCACGAACTTTTACGTAGCGTATCGTAAAAGCACTTACAAACATATCAAATCAAAACGTATGACACGAAAAATTATACCAAACTGAGATCTGTCTTACCAGACGTTTTTCCATCTGTAGCATAATAAATTTTAGCCAAATTATTTTGCTGGTGCCACACGAATTCTTTCTTCAGCACGTGGGTTAAAAAACAAGTATTGACTTGATTATCAACGATCCATGCATTAGGTCTGTAATAAAAATTATTATGAAAACAAGCCGAAATTGTGAGAGGCAAATGCCTTAATGCCCAATTAGATGTTCAATAACTTAATCAAATATTTCAGAGCCGCTTGAGGCACCCGAAAAATACCAAAACTCACTTAATACCTATTGTTATGGTTTTGGCTTTGGTGTTTATGGTATGGTTCCAAGAATTGGAGCAGATAGCATTTCTTCAGTAAATGCTTTAATCTTTAAACTATCAATTTAGGTTAGGCGCTAATCGTATGTTGAATGAAGAAGGTGGCTGAACAGGACTTCCTGTGTAGTGCCTCGCTAGCTTAATATGAAAACTTAATAGGCCAATATATGTATACTTAGATGCTAAATACAACACCTACAAATTTTGATCAACAAATCATTTATGTTCACTTAACTACATAAGTTTTTGATTTGCTTTAGTACATTATATTCCATATATCTTGACACCGAAAACGATCAAAAAGTCTAGTAGAGAGCGAAAGGCTTCTAGAAACTGTTAGATACATATTGAAGGAATTAACAACCAATACTTGAGCGCACATTTATAACCACTCGTAGACGCGGCATTGACCAAGAGCAGTTTACCTTAGCAAAATATTTGCTTTATCATGCTCTCAAACACAAGTCAATATAGCTAATTAATATATGTATGTATGTTGAGCAAAAAATGTTCAGCTTTTTATTTATGCAGTAATATATGCATAAATATTGTATAATTTATACAAACTCAAAATATTCATCTGTCCACTGGTTTTAACCATTTACATACAGTAGCGCGGGCCTATAAAAAGGTACATAAGTATGTACATTAGACTCCATCACACCCCATACAAAAAAAAACAAACATCGGTACTGTATTTCCATTGGAATTAAAAAATCTATTATATTTTCCAAAATATTTCGTAATTTGAAAATACCCCCAAAAATGGAGTTTTTTTATAAATAAAAATAGTTTCTTAAAGATTTTTTTTGTAAAAAATCCCCTCATATGACAAAACGGTTTAAGCTTAAAAAAATTGCATAAAAATATTTTTAAAAAATTTTGAACGGAATCATAATAATTAGATTATTGATGCCGTTTTTTTACCTTTTTTTTAAACTGAACCTAAACTATTCCGACTTAGGCTTGTGAGGTTTCATTGGAAAGGTATTTTCTCATATTTGTATTTCTTTGCTAATAAACTCATTCAAAGGACGAAAGAGAAAGGTAGGATGAACGAGAAAGGTAGGATGCCGCGGCGTAGCGTGACGTGGTGTGCGCGCCGGTCGCGCGGAGTACGCAGGGCGCTGACGCGGGCCGCCGCGAAGCTAAGAAAATTTAATGTTTGAAAGAGAAATAATGTCAATGGATTTGATTTCGTTTTTAAAAAGGTAACAATGTCAATTGACTTTATTTCGCACCAGGGTGGGAAATAAAGACAATTGACCTTATTTCCGTTGATCTTATTACTTGTCACCTACATTATTGATCTATACCAATTAGCATAATTTTGCTAAAGCATTGACTGAAGTTCACATCAGTATATAAACATTAAGGTAGTCGTTAAAATCAAATGAACACACGGTAACACAAAGGGGTCAAAGGCCAGATGCCCCTATGGAGACTCAAAAAATTAAAAACCATTTTTTTCATTCACTGAACTTTCATTTTCTGAACTTAGGCCTCTGTGCGCCATGCCTTAACCGTCTCCAATCGTGGCAAGATTTTTACGTGATATCTTCGACTATAGCAGCATCGATGTAGGGGTTGAGGCTTAGAAAATCGGATCTAAAAATTTGCTTCCTACATTTAAGGACCACCCTAATATACATACGTAAACATACTTATGTGGAAATACATGAATTCATACGAATCAAATACGCTTTAAAACGTTTATGCTATACACAGATTGCAATTTAATAGCAATTTTATCGTGCGCAGAAGTTAAATTTCTGTATATTAACCAGACAGTAGTTTGAGGAACTGTGAATGCCCTTTGCATTTCTAAATCAAAAATTTCCGAAAAACAATACTAATTTACATAAAATTACAGTTAAAGTTTAAATGCTTTCTGAGCTAACGGACCGAATTCATTAAAAAAAAAAGTCTGCAATCAAATTTTACGTTGAATTATCTATTCATAAATAAATTCTATTTAGACTATTTAACAATGCAGTCCGACATTATTTTTGGGAGCACAATGATTCCAACTCAAGATGAAACCACATCTTTCCACATGCTCAGGTGAAATTTTAATGTAAGGCCATTTTAAATTTAAAATTTGTTGCCTGATTTTTATTAGAACAAATGAAAAAAAACGGGATACAATTCCCAAAATCTGTGGTCATAAGCAATAACCGCCTAAGTCGAAAAACCTGAATTCGAGAAAAAACCTTTCAAAAATTTAGGTGGAGACCAAAATACGTTCGTTTAAAGCTTTTTAGATAGCCTAACTGCCGAGATTGGAATTTCACATACACGTGGAATAGTAGTTGCAGAATACAATAGCATTTATAATTCAACTCGCTCTTAAGTCAACTTAGGCGGTTATTGCTAATGACCACAGAAATTTCGTGAGGAATAGTTTTGTACAAGTTTTTAGCCCAACAGGTCTTTCACGAAAGGGTAATTTCCACCCCTTTTGGGAATGTTTGAATAGAATGGCATTTGAAGGTCGCTATAGGGTTAAAATATTCTAGAAAATTCACCGGAAAGTTGCACTACGGGTATTCTCAGAGAGCTGGAACCTGCGAAAGTATTTTCGGAACACTTCTTATCCCAAAAGTACGTCTAGTGTCCAACTATTGGTACTAAATTCTCGGCTGCCAGGACATAAAGTGCTCTGTGAAGCGAAGAGTCCTTGATTAATATACTTAAGTAGCTATCCAACGCCCTTAGAACAGATTTTCCTTGTTTCTTTGTTTAAACAAGTGGGGTTGGTGTTCCAGATCTAGTGAGGAAAATGAGCTTATACCTCATATGAAAGCTTAAAGTCAGTTCAACGTGGTCTGTGGTCTGGGTTTTAGCAATGGCACAGTCCAAACCACTTAAGATTTCAAGGTGCCATTTTAAGTTGATTTCTTTGAGATTACCTCCCTTGTAAAGCATGGGTGCCGTCTCAGTAGTCGCTTTCTCTTGAATTGCTATGTAGGGTGGTTGCAAATTAAGAATAGATTCCTTGCAGAGATCTTTGAATGCTTGTGAAAATGCCTGTCCACATTTTTCACTAAATTCATATGCATTTGATATAATTAGCAACACTTTTGTGTTCTACTCTTTTATTTATATTTTTCTTTAGCTTATAATAATTTACACTGACCTTAGGTTTGCAAAATTAACATAAACTATTTGAATATTGCGTTTCAAATTTTATTCTTTTTTCACAAACACACACTAAACGTTTACTTTGTCAAAATCAAGTTAACTCTTATACATTATGGTCAGCAATAAAATGAAACACGTTTTTCAACTCATTCGGCTACAATACACCTTCATTATTAAATCAAACGACAGTTGTATGCGCATATATATTTTATCAAAAAAGAAATAAAAAAACCTGAAGATTATATTAAAAATATTTCATTTAATTTCTTTTACTTTTCAGTATCTATTTTAGTCAACGCAAACGCTTCGTAGTGCACATACAGTGGCCGTGGACTACTACGCTGACTAACTGATTGCAGTCAACCATCAACGCCAATAAAGCACAAATTTACCCACACACATACACCCACACACACACAAACACATCAGCACACATTATGAGGCAACAACAGTTATTTGCAATCGCCGCCTGCCTATGCAGCGCCGCAGTAATGCTCGTATCCGCTGTGCCCGTACCTGCCGACAATCAGGAATTAGATGTGCTACAGATTCCACTTTCAGATGACAAGGTAAGCGTACTTGTAATGCGAGATTTAATAGATTCATGCGATTCAGTTACATCAGCACTGTAGCTGGAATTAATGGTTAGTTAACTAGTGAGTGAGTAAATATTTATCTTTTACATATCTACATATGTATATACATACCTACCAACGATTAGTTACATACATACCAAGTCAGTCAGGCGTTGGTTGCATGGTTAAGTAAACAGCTGAGTTCATTTGAATGCAGTTGTAGTTGTGCAAAGTGTGAATTTTGTTAACAAAATTTTTTCAGGCGGCTTTGTTGTTGTCTCCGTTAATTGTTTGAAGTGATGCTAAATGTCAACATGCGCTGAAAGTACTACATGATATTACTATGTACAGCTATCTGCGTTTTATTTTTTGTTTTTGTGTATTTTGCTTTTACTTCACTTGCAAATTTGTTAGATAAGCGCGGAAAGGTTAAGTGTCACGAAGTAAGCGTCTCCCATTTCGGATCCAGAAAAGGGAAATTAAATAATGAACCAGTATTTTATTACAACTACTTTTTTCGCGATTGCATCATTATTAAAGGGGAAAGGAAGTGAAAGAAGTAAACACGTATTGCGAGTCCAAAAATACGTTTGCCCATCTGTTTTGTTAAAGCGGGTATCGAAACATTCAATAAGCGCTCACGGTGCGTCTGAACCAAGTTTAAATCAAAGGTGGTTGTCGGACATTCAATAATCTTGCAAATTTTTGAAAGTATATTTTTTCTAGTTTCTAAAATTTCAAAAATTAAAATAATTTTTTAACAAGAATACCAAATGATTTCTCAGGTTTATGTAATTATCATGTGAAGGAATGTGACTGGTGGGCACTCTATTTTACCTTTGTTAAAAAACACTTAATGTACGCATACGACGTTTTTGTGTTGTAAAATATGAGCTATACACTTTCGTCTTGAGTAAGAATTAGGCTTATATAATCTTCGTAGGAATATTAAAAAATATTTAAATTTGTGACTGGTGTAAAGAAGATGTGCTTCATACAATGTTTCCATATACAAGAATTACAATTTCCTTTTATTTTTTTAATATCCTAATATCCTAGAGATAATTACGGTATTTAAAAATTTATGTCGTTTTCCTCTTTATCATGGAATGACCCATTATTGATATTTGTCGATATATAGGATAAATTTTTTTGTCATTTTCAAAATATATCGGGTTATCGAAATTGAAAGGTTATATAAACTTATCGAGTTATCTCTGCTTATCGAATTTTATCGTGTTACGTATAATCAAAATTTATCGAAAGCTTTGGAAAAGTATGGAACTATCAAAATTAACCAAGTTATCTAATTTTTAAATGTATCCAAAAATTATCGAGCTATCGATTAATCTATATTGAGATGTATAAATTTGGGTTATCGAAATTTATCGAAAATTAGTAATTTATCGAAAATTAGTAGTTATCTAATTTCGATAATTTTCGACAAATTGCGATAACCATTGAATTATCGATACGTATCAAATTATCGAAATTTTCGGGTCCTGCCAAAGTCTTTCAAATAGTTTCAAGCCTATAAAAATTCTGTAGTTAGGTTTTATTTCCAAAGCAGGAGATTTTCCGGCAAGTAATATTGTACGCTATAAGTTAAACGACGTGCTAAGTTAGAAAACCTACTCAAGGGTCTTAAGAAACTAGAAAAACGGTAGAATTTCTACAGTAACTGGCGATTCTAGTATGTATTCATAAATAGCCTAAGTTTTGAATGAATAGGTCTATATATGTCGCCACGCGCATAATAGTGCCCTCATATAACAGTATTAGCATTCCCCTCTCGGGCGTCTTTTCCAAGATTTGGCCTGCGGTGAATATCTGTCATCCAATATTATGCGTGACAGTAATAGTTGGCTGGTGAGACGTCGACTTAGCAGGTTCAGGCTAGTGGCTCGGGTTCATGTTCTCAACTAGTTTAGGTAACATTCAGCTTGTTGGAGAGTCGCTAGGAAAGAATTCAGCGGCATGCAAAAGATCGTCAGATTTCTTTATTTTACTATACCAAAAATATGAAGTATATTTTAGAATGTTTACTAAGCGTTTTCAGTAAATTTATTTATACGTAAAGCATTTAAAATTTTTCTAAATATGCACTCACCGCCCAAATTTCCATAAGCCTTCAAAAAATTTAGAAATGTCCTTACAAACTTTGTTAGTAAATTGTAGTTACATACTTTCGAACTAAAAATCAGTTTACAAGCAAGCACACCTCGCATCACGCAATGACTCATACAAAGTCCATATCTACGCATTTCACGTAGCAACGTAGTACTATATGCGTATTGATTGTTTACAAGTTTTCCCTCTTCATTTCCCCCCTCTTAATAAGTTTTCCATCGAATTTTCATTATCCAGTTACCCACTTACAATAGTTTCCTTTTATGTTTGCATAAAATTCAGGTCTCCAGGTCTGCGTAGTTAAAGCAAATCCTGCAAAACCAGCTTCAAACTAAATACCAGGCTGCACGGAAATGACACATTGAGCCACTGCCCAGTTGGCGAGTGGCTGAAAATGAGAGTATTTATTACAAATATAAAAACATGTATTTATGTATATTTTTACAAATATACAAGCAAGTACATGCAAGTACGTACATACATACATATTTACGCGTAATCGTGCAGACAGTAAGGCTGCTGTACAAACAGGCTGAGCAACTTTTGCCGGCCGAAAATTCGCTAAACCAGCCACTTTCAGTAGTCGCAATTATTACCAACAGGTTACTTTTTGGTCTACGACAAAAACCAGAAATAAATATTCGCAAGAAAACACAAAAATCAAAAAAAAAAAAAAATGCATCAAAATTAAATAATGCAATCAGACGCTGAATGTGCAACAAAAAAGTATCAACAAAAAACAAAAAGAAATGGAGCTGCTGTGACGGGCGCCGGTCATTTGGACAAATAGGTGAACGGCTTGTTGACCGACTAAAATTTTCCGTTAGTATAACCATAAGTAAATCTTAGTAGTTTGTATGTATGTAGGTGTGTGTGTTTTTTCGCACTGCAGCTATTCGGATGTTAAGTTGTATCACTTCAAATAACGAGTGTGTATTTAGCTGAGTGGAGAATGCCATTATGACAAGTTGCAGTTGTGTGAATGCTTGACGCATTATGTGGCATATGCGGCAATTATTTTTGGTAATATTTTTTAATCACTTTAAATGAAGTTGCAATTTCCATTCAATCGCAAAATTTTTTTTGCAAAATGATTGTAGGAAAATGAATGCAAATTGCAGTTGATTGGTTTTTATTTATAGTGCAAATACATAAAATTTGCCGGTTTGTTTGTTGGAAATAAAGAAAGGAGGAAATTTGATGAGGACGCACAGTGAAAATTTATTATGGCTTTTCGGGGGCAATTTTGCAAGTCAGTGAAGTGACTTTCTGACAAATGACGCTGAGCGTTCAGGTCACCCAAAAGCGGTAGCAGTTACTCCAGAAGTAGTTAAATAATAAAGTCCATGAAATTATATTGGATGCTCGACTGAGCTAGGGTGAAGGATGCCCAGCGAATATTTTTCTGAGGTAATTGACAGATTCGGCCTTGATTGTTTTTTTTCTCCTGTTTCCAAACCTGAAAAACTTTCCCAGCGGTAATAGATTGTGGTGCAATGAAGAGGTTATCTTGAAACTAAAACGCCTTTTTGAGGACCTCGATAGAATCTATTATTTGGCACGGTTAAAAAATTTAAAAATTTCTGCAGTAAATGTGACTAGCTAAAAGGAGACTTTGTTGATAAATAAAATCATTATAAGCTGTAAAAACTTTTTTTAACCCACTGACTAATCTTACTGCCATCGTGTTAGAAATTTTTTTTCTACTAAATATTTAAGTAGTTTGCGACCCGAATTGACATTTTTTAAGCATACTCAGTACAAAGGTCCTTATCAAGTCGATACCGTTTATCATATCGATAATTATCGTTATTGTTGTTGATTAGTACATAGTTATATCGTTAGATTTTTAGAAGTTTTATATGTCAGTATATTTATTGTTCGTTGTCGATATCTATGATTTTTGCGATTTCTGTGTTGATTGTTTGTAATATTGTAAAGTAGTCAGCGAATTAGTTGTAAGGTATTTAGCGAACGAATGGCAAGGTATGATTATCGAGATCGATATTGTTTTTAATCGTTATCGACTTTGGTCGATGTTTTCAGTGTTTTGTGATACAAATAAAAGCTGTAAATTTCGCGCAGTTTATAGTTATCATTATTTAAACCGGCATCCATACCGATATACAATATATTTATCGATACTTTTATCGATGATTTTACCCTCACTTTTTAAAACATTTTCTGTATCAATATATTAAGCGAAAATTAAGAATTCATCGATTATTTTCAATTTATTTTATTGATCATTATCGTTTTTTATTGGATGTTTTATTGTAAAAGGGGCATCCAGCGAGTGGAAATGATATCTGGCGCATCGATATTTATCGTTATCGATATTGTATTAATTCAATGTTTTAAACTAATCAGCGAACAGATCAGTAGTAGTACGACGAGACACTTTTATTTCTTTAAAATCTGAAACAATTGTTTTACAAATAAACGCAAATGGCACTTCCCATGACTAACTACTGCAGCAAATTTACTGCAGTGCTCGACTTTCTTGGCATATATGTAAATAGCTGAAATTGGAATGAAACTCACAATTTCCATAATCTTATTTAATTTGCTATGCATAAACAACGCTGCTCATGGATGGGTTACGAATATCTAAACGAAATAAAACAAGAGCTACATACATATATACATACTATACATGCATTAGGGTGATCCAAATAAACTTACGTAACGAATTTACGGCAGTAAAAGAACCTATTTACTGAGAAGAAAATTCTACCATTTGGAAAAATGTTTTTTCCAATTTTAAAAGGTGTCGGTGCGCATTTAAAATTTCCCCAGTAAATTTCATATGAAACAAATTTTTTCATTAAAAATGCCATAGCTATGGAACCGTGTGGGGTAAAAAAATGTTTAAAGAATTTAATGCCCTACAAAATATGCCCGGAAAAAATTTTTACCTCAAAGTGTTCAATAGCTATAACATTTTTAACGAAACAAAAAATCATGTTATTTACATGAAAAATTTCAAATGCCAACCGACACCCTTTAAAATTGGAACACAATTTTTTCCAAATGGGCGAATTTTCTTCTCAGTAAATAGGTCATTTAAAGGCCATAAATTCGTTAGGTTAATTTATTTGGATTACCCTAATATACATATGTATGCTCCATATGTGTGTTGTAAACCAAATTTTGACAACTATAATACCAAAGCGTGTGTAAATCAACAGAAAAAAAATCCCATACGCAGCTCAAGTGCCTCCAAATGTCACCTTCAGCAGTC